CATTGTCATCATCTTCAACATCACTCGAATGCTCTTTATGTCCATCTATAATCATTAACAACCGTGTTGTGGGTTTATGAGATTGGATAGGCGCACTCGTGCCTGCATCGCCTTGATCTTCAAAGTACAAGTCCCCTCGTTAGTGTGGTTCCATTGGTTTCTTGTATGAAATACCGCTCATATATGGAACTGGCATCTCATCATCAGACGAGACAACATAACATACTTCAATCTGCAACAGTGATATAATTGATTAGCATATTAATGATCCAAACACGCATTGATTATCAGTGTTTGTGACCTAAACACATTAAAAATCATTATCGTGTTAGGGAAACTGCATGACCTGACATCATGAATGTGTCATAGAATTCATTTGTGTGATTTGTGAAACATGCAAAGTCCAATTCATATGTGGTTGAGGTGTACATATATATGTGACCTTTAAACCAGATATCATGTTTTGTGACCAGTAACTTCTGATTACGATAGCAATGAACTACATTCAAGAACAAAATTTTTCACACTTACATCAAATTAGGAGAAGAAATCTTCATCCAATTTAACAGTAGACGGTTGTGTTTTGCAAGGTCCAAATCACAATGCGGGGGTGCCTATTCCCCACCTTATTGGGAACAGGTCCAGTAAGGCTTGGAAGTGATTCATATATCCAGACATGAAATGCAATAAAAAAAATCTTTTTAGTTTGTAGTAGGGATTCTATGACCTAAACCCTCCTTGGGAGATTTTATAGACATCTCAAATAACTATTTACCCAAGGGAAACCGAAACATACAACACATTATTTTGAGCATTCTCACATGAAAATCAAAACAACCACATTATTTTATCTATGAACATGATCAGCGCCTTGTCACAAAACTGAACATGTTTCATAAACTGAGACACAATGTCCTCACTTCACACAATAGTCACATTCTCTACTTAGTATACACACAACCATCTAATAGCAAACACAAAGTACTGTATAACAACCATATCAAAAAACATGGCACACTCTCCACACATTTTGTATGTTCAGTCACTTCACACACTTAAGTCACAGATGTAATCGAAAATTGGTCACAATGTTTACCATATTCTCTTCACAGTACACATAATAGTCATACGGATCACAATAATCGAATAGTATTTCACAATTGAATATTCCCCCACCAATAATCCACTACTCCATTCAAAATCACTCAACAATTCAAAAATGAATTACCCATATGCTCACTTAACTCAATGGACTACAGAGAACCCTTACATTGTTCGATTTTCTTTTTCAGGATTTGGCCGGAGTTTTAGGGGGTTGCATCGTGAACACGTTTTTCGACTTTTGGACTTTTGGAGTTCCGTTGGTGGCTTCCAGATGGACTGTCGATTTTCTGTTGTGACTTGTTTTCGTCATTTCCAAACCCTTACAGCGCCTTCGTTCTACACGCTACAATGATGGCCCTATTACAACCTTCATTTTTCCCGCTACCTTCTTTTCGCTTCACATGTGAATAAAAACTTGTTTGTATAATGCAAAACAATCAAAGGTTGCTTTAGTTAAATGAAGAACGGCTTCTAGATTAGGGTAAGTATCGATTTACATCGATTGATCGTGGAAGATTGTGCATTGCGCTTAAGTGGTTTAAAAGATATTGTTCCTTATTTGAAAATTTTCTCTCTCCATTTTAACATAAAAATGGGAAATGGTTATAGTTAATAAATATATTAAAATCTTAATAAAGAATTAAATACGACATGTTTTTTGTATTAAGAAACTTAATTCCTTAACAATGAAAATTGAACATAAAAAACCATGGTGGCTGTAATTTCGACTTTTTTCTTTTGATAAACCAGGCCAACTAAACTAGTCCTCATGAGTTGCTGTACTGGACAATAAACACTAATATGAGACGTCTATTATGAAAGACCAACCCATCAATCCACCAGGATCAAGCAAGCTACATTAACTTCGACTTTTTAACAAACTAAGATATTCTGGACCCAGATAACTCAACTCATTTGACATCATCACTATTTAAATATGATGAACAGAGAGAAAAGAATCACATGCCGAATCAAAACTTCTCATCTTAAAAAAATGGTTATGAACGTGTGTAGTTTTTCATTTGTTATGAAAGTAAGATCATTAGTTGCTAGAAAGTCATATGGGCTTGTTTATTTATTTTTCCAAAGTATAGGATCAAACTTCAATTTAAGAAAAGTTGCATGTTTGAGTTTTCAATCGTCAACTTATAAGTTGGAATTTGAGGTTTAAAGCATTAGTGCGATTTTTGGAGTCGAGTCAATTCTCAATTTTTATTTGTCAGGCATATGAACAAACACTAAGAAAACAAGGACGATGAGTATATGAGGCGTTAGGCTCTCAATGGTTAGCGAGAATGAAAAAAGACTCATCTTTTATTGCAGGTGGCACGAGATGACTGCCAGTTCACTATGCTAGTCGTTGACTGGAAAAGAATAATCAACCAAAATGGATTAAAAAAATAGTGGGTGAACAGACACTAAAAAACAAAAATAAAAAATTTAGGTACATCTATTTTGATTCTCGACCTTTTTTATTGGACTTTAATTCATTCGGCATGTTAGCTTACTTTAATTCATTCTAGTTATTAATTTTACTTTCACCTTCATTTATGTGTGTATTTTGTGCATTTACTTGTAGTAAGATTTCCTTTTGTTTGGTGGTATTTAAAATCTGTTAAGACTTCGTTATTGTGGTGGTCATTTGATATATTGAATAAAAATTGTGGAGATTATTATTATTATTATTATTATTATTATTATTATTATTATTATTATTTTATTTTCCAAATATTTGTCTTTGATTGCTATTCAAGGACTCGACTATTTTAGATCGTTGGGTTTGTGAATGATATTGCTTTTCGACTGTGTCAAAAGTTTAATATGCCTGAATAACAAAAAATAATTTGGTCAAAATGTTGAAATTTTAATTGGCAATTTGGCATAATTAAAAAAAAAATGTATCTCATGTTAAAATTTCGACACTTTGAAATTATAATTAGGTGTAAAAAATTTTAACAGTTAGATAGATAAGAACTAGGCTTATCTATGCACCCTTTAGCTTAGTAAAAGTGCTTCTTTATTGTGCGCACCAGTATTGTTATATCTGTTGGGACCTTACAAATCAAAGAAAGACAGCCACCAAGAGAATAAATCTGGACTTTCTAAAAGTTTCATCAATGTTTTCTATTTATATTAACATTTAAAACAATTAGATACTTTTTCAAAGTTTTCGAAACATGTGTGAAACAAAGCATCAATCATTCTCATCCCTATCTCGTCAAATATTTTTGTCACCTTGCCTCGTCCCCATGCTCGATTAAAGCGGGACGAGACATGGATGATGGCGAGGCAGGTTTCATGGTCCCGTTTATTTTTTGTTTTTGTTTTTATTTTTTATTTATTTTATTTTTTGTTTTTATTTTTTATTTATTTTATCTTTTATTTATTTTATTTTTTGTTTTTATTTTTTATATCTTTAGTTAGTAAATATTGTTACTTTTTTTTTTTCAATTTATTAAGAATAACTTATATTTTCTTTAAGAATGACGACAAATATTTTATTTTTGTTTAATAAAAAATTAAATTTGAAGTTAACTTTAAATAGAGGGGGTAAGGTAGTGAGGCGGGAAGGGGACTATATTTCCCATTCCCACCTCGTATTCATTTCGGGACAATGATCCCTGTCATTTTAAATGGTTAGGCAGGTAATCCTTGTTCCATTCAAAACAAGGTTCCGCGAGTATTGGATTGAACGAGTTTTTTTGTTATCCCTATTTCCTACACATTAAAAATGTACAAGGTTAAGCAATGCATATGTCCTTTCCGTTTAATCAAAATTCCCTTTTTTGAGTTGAATGAAATAATCAAGTTTTAAAGTACTTTTAAGTGCATCCAAACACAGCCGTATCACGTTGTGGCAACAGTAAACAACAACTAACAAACAGACAAAATTGAAATCAAAATCTTATTTGGGTGTGAAATTTCAATTGAGTTATTAAAATTTTAATTTATCGTAATTGAGTCCCTAAATTTAGTTTCAATTGAGTCATTAAACTTCAAATATATTTTAAAATTTCACCACTTCTTCACCTATAGCATACAAATTTATAAAAATTGCTTAATTGACAATCATGCCACAGTGGATCTTAGCTTTTCTTTGCGTTAAAAGTAGTATTTAAATATATATATATATATATATAAAAAAAAAAAAACCTCTTCTTTTGATCTTTTACGTTAAAAATACTGCCATAGCCCTCATTATCGTTTTTGTTATTAAGTATTGTAACAGTTATGTAGAATATCAATTAAGATATAATCAAATTCGATTAACTTGAGAAACATGAGCGATAGAATATGTTAGAGTAATACAATTTAAAATTAAAGTGAAGTTTAATCCCTCGATTGATGAAATTTACTTGACCCATGTTGATATTCATTATTTAAAATTCATTTTTTCGTACTTATTTTTAATGATATATTTTTTTAATAAAATAATTTTACATATAAACTCAAAAAATTTCTTTATTCTTTAACTGTAAGATTTTCTAAGTCATTATTATAAAGTTTATTCTCCCAAGAAATAGAACTTAAAATCGTTTTACAACCCTGAACCCTAATAATAATAATAATAATAAAATGGTTTGCCCCTCGGGATATAGTCGAGTGGTGCAAACGACAATAGTGAGGTTTGCTGACAGTCGCAGTATGGGGGTTCCATTTCTGACACATGAAATTGAACTCCTTGTAGGCACAGTGTATAGGCAGCTCTTGTTCCCTGACCTGTTTGGGGTATATCCCGCGATTTATCTTTCTCATAAAGCTCGACGGGACGATGGGGACCCTCAAGATTGAGGTTCAACCTCTCTTTTTTTTCTTCTTTTTTTTTTTTAATAATAATAAATGACAAACCATCGATCTTGTCTTATGTATTTCCACTTCTTATATTATTCTGGTTCACACAATTAGTTCTCACTCCAAGGCACCCACAAAGAACACGAATTCAGAGACGGACCAAGAAAAATCTAAGCCTTGTTGGCTTTGATTTTTGCCTTCATTTTCTCATTGATGTAACATTCCCCTATACACACCCGACCACCGTATATATAGAGAGAACTGTTGAACCCATAAAGCCAAAGGGGAAAAAGAAATTTTTGAAAATAATCCAATTGTAGAACACACACATAGACGTACATGGTTTAAAGAGGAAAAGAAGTTTTTATATGCTGTGTGTTTTCTGAAATGGGTGATGTGATTAGATTTTCCTGCAATTCACTGACTTTTTGTTCTTCGATTGTGACTGCATTTTCTTCGTCATTGAATTCTTTTCAACCGATTCTTCCACCCAATCAAAGGCTACGTAAAGGGGTGGTTTCTGTTTCAGATGCTTCCTCTGTTATGGATTCTTCTTCTTCAGTTGACTTTAGACCTCGCAAGCAATTGGCATCTTTTAAGGTACGGACTCTACTTTCTTGAATGAAATTTTTGATATGGGCCTGTATTTTATCCCCTTTTTTGGGCTATTTTCAATGGCTGACGCAACATAGAAACCAATCAAGAAACTTTCTCTGATGCTTTTTCTTCTGTGCCATATACTTCTGGATTTTTACTTAATTGAGTTTGGATGGCAGAAAAGTAATTTTAAGGCTCACGTTGTTGTATTTAAATGGTCTGAATAAAGATTATACTTGTATATACGTAAATTTATGTGCTGATGGTTCTAGGTTATAGATGAAATTTTTCATAGCTATACAAAGTATTCAACAAAATAACACAAACTATTATACATGGGCAATAATAACTTTTGAAAATGCCACATGAGTTACATAATGACAAGGAGTTGAACATTAGGCAAAGATGGCTCGAATTGGTAAAGGATTATGATTGTGAAATCCATTACCATCGAGGCAAGGTGAATGTAGTGACATACGCTTTAAGTAGGAAAACAATAGGCAATATATATTCAGATCTTAACTTTGATATACATTACTACTTGTTCACTGAAATTTAAAAAGTTACTTTTTGTTCACTAAACTTTGCTATAGATTACCGAAATTTAAAGGGTTACTCATTGCTTATCTAAATTTAAATAAAGTTACCCATCAATTACCCTTATCATTTACATCAATGTTATATATAGTAAAGTTCAGTGAGCAATGAGTAACTTTATTCAAATTTAAATGAGAAATGAATAATCTTTTAAATTTCAGTGAGCAAAAAGTAATCTATAGCAAAGTCCAGTGAGCATGAGTAGCTTTTTAATGATCGGTGAGCAAGTAGTAACTTAGCCCCGATTTGTCTTCCATCATTTGCCCATTAAAATGAAAAATATAATAGTTATACATTACATCAAATCATCATATTTGACTTTGACAATTGTTTGCCGAATAATTTTCACATATGTATTACATCTTTTTATGGTATTGCAGAGGTCTAAATAAAATATGTACAATTGGAATGAAAATCCCCTAAAATCATTACGTGATTTGTCAAAATTCTATTTTGGAAACTAAATAATCTCAAATAGACTTTTTATCTCTTGTGTGGAGTAGGGAACAACTATATTTTTCATTCTTATTCTTACATTAATGTGGCTCAAACATGGCCTTATAGCAAAATTCAATGACCATTGATTAAATTATCTCGTCTAAATATATATTGCCTATTGTTTTCCTACTTAAAGTATATGTCACTATGCTCGCCTTGCCTCGATGGTAATGGATTTCACAGTCGTAATCCTTTACTAATTCAAGCCATCTTCTTTGCGTAATGTTCAACGCCTTCTCATTATGTAACTCATTTGGCATTTTCAAAAGTTATTATGCCCATGTATAATAGTTTGGGGTAATTTTGTTGTACACTTTGTAAGTTTTTATCATGCTTGTTTCTTTTTCTTTTTCATTTTTTTTTTCATATTTGTAATTTATATAGTTTGAATGTCTAAAAATCAATAACAACAAACTAGTCCCTATTCTCGAAAATTTCGGCCGATTTTGAATTTTTTTGTACGATGTTTGATCGAGTTCTACATCTACTTAAAAGTCTAAAAAATCAAGAGAGTTTCCATCCAGTTACGATGTTCTTATCTTTATCCTCTTCATATCCTCAGTTATTTTGGTGAGTGCTGACCCTTATCTATGAGATTAGGCAAAATTTCTATCTACAATGAAGTTTGGCAAATTCCAAGATCCACTAAATAATTTATCAAAATGATTCCTCCAACTTTCTCTCTGAGAGAACAAACTCTTAGATTGTCATCCTTTTAATGAATTCAACTTTGTTTGAATCTGTATTTCTCTTTCTTTTTGCTTAGATTCTCCTCTGTTCTTAAGATAATTAAGTAGTCATATGACCTAAAACCATATCTTAACTTCTCTTCCCATGGCTATTCAGATCTCCTCCACAAAAATCTTATATTGAGTAGGATTACCTTATTCAACCTATCCATGTCTTACCAAATATTTACCTTAGCTAGCCCCATTTTGGAGCATACATGCTTCTTGTTCTAACACAAGTCTTAATAGTATAATCATATCCCCAACCAGTTCAATTTCTATTACTTAATCTTGTAAAACTGATAATTATTCCAACTCCATGTACACTCTTTTCGTTATTGATATAGTTAAGATTATATCTCATGTTCCCTAATCATTTCTCTTATACTTAGTTCACCTTCAGTATGCAAGGCATGGTGCCTTTTTTCTTGATCTTTGCGTCTACTAGTTCTAAGGATTTTTGCAAAGCACATCTAGATTCTGAGTTCCTGCCCCCAATTCTATTGTCTTAGACTGATATCCTTTTTTCATTAGAGTGAGGAAACTTACACTTCTCAATAAATCTGAGCATATGTCTCGTGTTGCTTGTGGGGGTATGCCTTGGCTCTGAATTTGATGCATTTAACAAAACTCATGAAGGATTCACATCATAATGTGAGAGTTTTGTGCTGAACCTTAATATTTTGGAAATAATTTGGTTGAAACATTAAATTCAAAATATTTAATGTAATATGCTATTATGATTAATTGGGCGAATTGGAAAAGTCCACAATAATCCCATAGGATGTTAAAGCCCATTAGAATATTTTAAGCGTGTAAGAGTCGTATTGAATCCCACATTGAAAAATTACGAGTTTGTAACTTGTTTATATAGTGAAATACCTATGAGATAGTAATTTAAAACTACTAGCCACTAATGCCTTAGAGCATCTTGAAGAGACTTTTTTTTCTTTATATTTAACACTTATTTTTACTACTCCCAGAAATGCTTATTATTTTTCTCTATATTTCATCTATGATTTTAAGGGTTGGCTCTTTAAAATAAAGAGCATTTTATGTTTAAAGAGTCTCTTACAAATGTTCTTAAGCCAAAGCTAGCCACCACTAGGGTCAAAGCACATTCGCGCATATCGCAAAGGGTGTAGTATGTGCTTTAGAGATGCACTTTGCACCTCGCACGTATGCATCATTAAGGAGATTTTCTTTGGTATACCTCGCACCATCTCGTTTTTCCTTATTTCTTCATTCATTTTCTTTGTTATAATTGTACGGGTCATTTTTGGATAACATACTCCTCCTCCTTCATATAAGCTCGGGGCACACTACGAAGAAATAATGATAGAGTTTCTTAAATATGTAGAATGTAGATGAAGTCAAGAAAAATTTTAGATTCTGTTGTGGCTTTACATGATTATAAATTCGGAAAAAAATTAACTGAATACCTTCAATAAAGTTTCATCCTGAAGGTAACTCATTTTGCTGTCTGAATATTCAACTGGATAATTTGACTCGTAATGGTCTAACCATCTAGTACTTTCACTACAATGTAATAAAAGTTTGTGATTGGCCTACAGTAGCCCCGCCCCCTCATCATCTTGTTTCTTTTTCTATCCCATTCCCTTTTGCAGCTATAGTTCCCCATCCCATGAAGACGTGTTAACAATTTGATAAAACATATCTTAAAGATCTAGACTCTCTCAATTATCTGCATCTATTGATATATAAAAAAAGTGCCACTGGAGTTTTGTTGAATATATATATGTATGTATGTATGTATGTATGTATGTATGTATGTATGTATGTATGTATGTATGTATTTTCATTATTCTTGGTTTCAAAGCTTCTCATTGCCGCTAAAGCTGTAAAAGAAATAGTTATTTGCTCTTGTAGACATGATAAATTCAGTGTTGCCCTTTTCTGGTCCTCGTAATCTCTCAATGATAGACTGATGATGTAGTCGGCTTCCATCATCAGATTTGCAGGACTTCTATTTTATGTTAGTTATGTTAAATGAATTTGTGAGTCTCATAATTTTCCCATCTGCCTTACAATTATTCATGGAGAAACAGGGCATAGGCAGGATGATATAGTCAGAAAATGACAAGTTATGTGGTGACGGATGATCTTCTTCAGGACTTTTTGGATTAGGATAATATCTTTTGGATATTCTGTAATTGAAAAAATTGGGCCTCTTGGCAGTTTTCCCATGATTAATTTTGATGTTTCTCTCTGTCCATCCTGTGTTTTTGCTATTAGAGTTAGGAAGCTTTCCATTTTGTGATTTTAAAACCTGATTAGGCTAATTATTATATCAAAAACTATGTCTCTTTCAGCATACTTTTCTGCTTGCATACGAGTTTTTAAATTTTGCGTGCCAGTTTCATCTTCTTAAAGTTAATTATGACTCTTCGCTGGTGCTTTATTTAGGTACATGCAACTGTTACTGAAACTGAGCAACCTAAGTGGTGGGAAAGGAATGCAGGCCCCAATATGATTGACATTCACTCAACACAAGAATTCTTAAATGCCTTGAGTGGGGCTGGGGACAGACTAGTTATTGTCGAGTTCTATGGAACATGGTGCGCTTCGTGTCGAGCACTATTTCCCAAGGTAATAATTATTACTAGTTAATTTTTCAGTTCTAATTAGCAGTGTCATTATTTTGATAACGAAGTACGCTTCTGAAGTTAAATGATCAGTACTGAGAAACATAGGTTAACATCTGCAGTCAGTGATTTAGAGTTACGTATACCAACTTTAACATTCATTATGTGGCCTTTTATAGATCAGAAATTTGTACTCTCATGAAAACTTCAAATTTTAGCTTGTAAAAGACTATAAATGAACCTCTTCTATAGTGCCTTGGCTTCAAGGTGTAAGTGATCAGGGTAAAAGTTTCTAATTCACACTCTTTGCGGTTCAAGTCTTATCATTTAAGGGAAGGAATATTTTCCGGACTTGAGCCAGAGATTTTTACGACATAGATTCTGGGTTTAAAGTTCTACTGAATCTTCTAATTGGGCTTCATAACTTGTTTCATAACTAGCTATTAACAGATGGGATGCTATTTGTTTTTTGCTTATTTGTGAGAGGATATATAGATGTTGCATGTATAATGTCAAGCTAATCTCCAATATCCAAGAAGTGTTTGATTTGGTCGTCTTGACCTGTTCAACGGGTGATAAATGTTCTGGTCTAATCAAATTATCATGTCTTTGCGTGTTGAACGGGTATAACTACGTCCTTAATGAAACTAAATCAATAGATCTACGAAGGGGCTGCAAAGTTAAATGTACTTCAACACTGTATTTTAGAGATATGCATGCAGGAGAGAACAGTTGCGAAACAGTTTAATTGCCATAAGCGAAGCATAATGTATTGTTCTTGATGACACTGTGATGCGGAGAACAAGAAGAAGAACAACTTGAGGAGAGAACAAGAAGAGAGATTTAGGAGGAAAATTTCAGTTTTATTCAATAATAATGTATCTATTACAATCAAAGAACCCCTTTATGTAGCATTCAATCTAGAATTAATAAGGAAATTAGGTTCTTCTTTATAAGGAAACAAAATCAATTGTCTTAAAAATCATAATAAAAGGCAATATTAATCAAAAAGGAAAATACTATAAAATCATAATTGACTTAATTTGTTCTACATCTAGAATATACCTTCCATGTTGCATAACTCTGAGATTTCGAAACTAATTCTGTACACCTCAGTTTTGGAATGAGCACAAAGATATTAACATCATCTCTTTTCTTAATAAAAATACTGTTTTCTGGACCATAGTTTTTTCATGTGATGTCCAGACCTCAAAAAAATAAATGTGAGTCAATAGTGTTTTTGATTATCAGCTATGCAGAACTGCCGAGGAACACCCAGAAATTTTGTTCCTGAAAGTCAATTTCGATGAAAACAAGCCTATGTGTAAGAGTTTGAATGTAAAGGTACTTCCTTATTTCCACTTCTATCGAGGAGCAGACGGACAACTGGAGTCGTTCTCTTGTTCTCTTGCAAAAGTAAGTAAATTTGAGTGTATATAATGCTGCTTCCTTGATTGGGCTTTTGCTTATTGTATGCGATCTAATTTCGATGCATAACATTCAATACTATTCATTGGATTCTTGTGATTCAAAGTATTTAACTTCAAGATTTGGGAAATGCTTCTCTTCAAATATTGAATTGCTATAATACCAATGTATGGCTCCAGTTGGTTTTCTTTCTGTAATGGTTAGAGGAGGGACCAATCTCAAAAGGGGTAATAATTCGGAATATGTGAACTGATTCGTGTAGAAAGTGAAGAAAAACAGCTATCCAATGTCTTCTTAGTTGCACCCCCATCTCCATGGGTGGAACTTAATACACCTGAACCTGAACCTGAACCTGAACCTGAACCGACAAATCAATTAGGTTTTGTCAAGTCTTATGCAATGAGAAAGTCTACTAAATTAGCTGCAGGTGTCAGTTGCAGTTGCTTAGGAGTGTCGCCCCACCCCAATTGGTTATTAGCAATCCGGGAAACATCCACATTTTGTTGATTATATATAAATATTTTGTTTGTCTTTCACAGTTTCAGAAAATAAAGGATGCCATTGTGTTGCATAGTACGGCTCGTTGTAGCATTGGTCCTCCTAGAGGTGTTGGGGATCTCAACCTCGAAAGTCTCTCAGCCCCGAAGGAGAAGCAAACAGAATCTACTGCAACGTAGTACATCCTTAAATTCAAGCGATTGTCTATACCAACGCATGTGTTTTCTGGTCTTTAGGTGAACCCTCAAGTTTTTAATGATTGATTTTGTGTGATTGCAATTTACTGTACAAAACTTCAGCATTCTTGGATATATAGTATGGCTTGTGACCATGTAGTAATCTCATTCTTGTCTCAATAGAAATGTATTTTTATGCCATGTCACTTCTGATTTGGTCACTGTCACTACCATTGGATATTCGATTCTGCTTGTCAATACTTTATTGGAGATAATAGACCATGCCCCTCGCCGAATTTTCCCGACTCGTAAAAGTGTATGCATAAACTTTTGGCTTAAACTTTATATTTTATAAACTTTTACTAAAATCTACTAAGTATGATTTTTAACAAAACAAAATCGAGGATTATGGTGCATTTGATTTGTTATTTTCAAGTCGTTCTCAGTTTTGCAAAACGTTGAAAACATGTTAGATATGATATTTTTGAAAATGCATTTTTGAAAACTATGATAAATTTATAACATAAAAGTCAAAGACGTATTTTTGACAATTTGAGTGTTTCCAGTGAAAATTTTGAAAACACTCAAAACAAGAAAAACAAACATTTAAATAAAATTTAAAAAAATTAAGAAATATAAAATATAAAATTATAACCAATAAAATTTTAAAAACTATAAAAATTAAAATTGATAACTTCCAAAAAATAAAAATTTTGAAAAAAATAAAATTATAAAAAAAAAATTCTTAAAATTTATAAAAATAAAAAATAAAAACATTTCTATCTAATGATTATTTAAATAAATTTTTTAAAAAATATTAAAATGAACACATACAAATATATTTTTAGACCATCTCATTAGTTTATATTTTTTCCCCCTATATTTTAAAATTAATTTAGTATTTATTATTTTAAATTTTTTAGTGTGAAAAAATATTATAAGATTCACTAACTTTAAAATGTCTACAATACTTCATAATATATTAACATAAAATTGTTCTATTATTATTGAATAATCAAATTTAAAGAATTAATATATCATAAAATAATTTTTCAAAATTTCAAACCAAACTGTTTCTAGTATTTGGTTTTGAGAAATAATTTTTCAAAATGACAAATCAAACGCATTGTTAGAAATTTTAAAATAGACACTCAAAACAGAAAATAGAAAAATAAACTCAAAACTCAAAACTAAAAATTCAAATTAAAATACAAACCAGACGGGTCCTTAGCTTTTTATGAAATGGTTAAACTATTTCTTTGTAAGTTACAACATTTATGAACGGTTATGGGTTTTGGATGAATGGTCATACCAAACGCTATATATGGAGCTCTTTCACAAGGTCTTTCATGTTATGGGCACAACATATAAGTTTCTAAACTCCCTCTAAATAATGTTAACATTTTAAGATGAAAATTTAGGTTTTAATATAATATCAAAGTTCATTAAATTCAAGTGAATAAGATCCAACTAAGATTCAAACAAGCACCCGAATTTTAAAATTGATGCTCTCAAACGAACCATTATTTTGATAGAACATATTAAGTTGACTGATAAATTCCAAAGAGATTAAGTATTGAAATATTATTAATGTATAATTATTAATGTATAAATACTTGAACTACTTCACTTAACGAAATTAACATTTTAAGATGAAATTTGAGCTTAATATTTTATATATAATTAAAACAGTATTGTACTCCCTCAGTATTTTGCTACAAATAAATACCTTTTCTGTAAAACTCCTGCAAAGTTCATGTCCAAGATCGGTGATAATAGGCACAAGTTTGGTTTGCTAGTTCTTATGTGATTGAGGTGTGCTTCCATAGGAATGGAAATTCTTCCTGTCCTAGAAAATAATTACTAATAATCTTGAACTCAAGGAGGAGCAAAATTTTGAGATCTTGAATTATTTTTGAGAAAATAATTACTAATAATCTATTAACTTGTTTACTTTCTTATCTTTATCTCTCTATCAGTACGAAATTCTTGTCAATTGAGTTAGCAAAATTTATTCCTCTTTCTGCTCACAAATTTCTAGTCAGTTGAGGTAGGAAAAATAATTTTTCCTTTAATCGAAGAAAGTCAAGACCATAGTAAACCAGAAAGGAAAGCCTCTCGGAGAACCTTTTTGTCGCTGTTAAAGTCGAGAGAGAAGTCTCTAAAGTCGCTATGGTCGGGGCTCTCCCTCACATTTTACAAATTGAGTTTACAAAGAAACTCTTCTTTTCTATCTCAAAGAAAATGTTAATATTCTCTTAACTATGAATTGCATAATAAAGTGGTATAGTTATTCTATCTACACATATCGTTCTGACTATAAAGATTTATGATAGATAAATATTTATTTGAATGTCATGTTTCCCATTCTTCATTTAAGTACAATATTTTCGAAAAATATTGTATAATTATTTTTTGAAGAAGAAATAATCTAAATTAATATTTTAGTTGAATATTGTAGAATTTATTAAAACAGAGTGTTTTATTTGGATTATTTTATTACTCCTAAAGAAGAAAAAATTCTCACAATAACAGTCTTTAAAAATAATAATGTATTATTATTCATAGATAGAGACGGATCTAGGATCGACAAAAAAAATTGAGTTTATGTGTAAAAATGTTTTATTGAAAGAATGTACATTTGAAAATGAATTTGAAGATTAATTTTTATATAATGGGGCTAAAAGTAGCTTTAGATCAATAGAGGTTGGAACTCTCAAGAAAGGGGACCATTAAGGATTTGTTTCTTAATGACTATAGCATACAAGAAGCATAGAGAAAATTGAAAATAACACATACAGAGTATAATAGACAAGATGAAATCATTTGAAAGAGCAGAGCTTAGAACCTTTACTTTCCATCTCTAATGTACTCACTCTAATGACCCTACCTTATGTATGATTGGTCAAAGATGAAATGAAAATAGCAGGTGTAGAGATGCTTTTCAAGTGTGGAATCTTTTTGTTCTTCCAATTTGACTCAAAACTGATCGAACCATGAGCGCGTTGAAGAGTGCTATAAAAGGCCTTGAAGGACCGAAATCACGTATATGGCAAAATATAGGAATGGCTTGTGGCTAGGGGTTAAAGGCCATCCAAGATATTTTGTGGACTATAATGCATGAAGAATTTGAGGAGTTTAAAATCACTAACAAAATGGTCCCCATTTGTGCAAGTTGATCAAAGATGTATTAAGAAAAGGGCTTCCTCCAATAGTGCAGGACAGTAATTTAGAGGTAGTTAATTATGCAAATTAGAGGATTCTATGAAAGTGCAAATTGTCCATATCCATGGAGTGGATTCAAGAAGATATTTTGGTCAAGACGAGACACTTTTGCCTTGGGGAAAATCATAACGGTCAAAATTGACATGTGTTATAGTTTGACCTAACTTCTAATGGGTATTGGAGTTTTGATTGAAGTGGTCTTGAAGAGATCAAAATTATGGACCAAAAAGAAAAGTCGTTACATTTTTGCTAGTCTACCGCTAATTGGCTGCTTGAGCAGCATATGCATATTTTCTCCTAAGACTTGTCGTTCGCCTGGCGCCCAAGTGGTAGAGCTGTAGCTCACCTACCACTAGTGACAGGGCTAGACTAAGCCCGTTTCATGTTTTGATGTGTTTTTGGACCTTATTCATCTACAAATTGATTTCTAGGGTTCATATATACAAGTCACAGCTTGTTTCGTTTCCATAACATTTATACAACATTTTGAGAGATTTAGATATTAATTGAGAGTGTTAAGATCTTGATGTAATCACAATTACTATTGATTATAGTAAATCTCTCCTCCATTACCTCTGCTTTTTTCCCATTATGGTTTTTCACATAAATTTTGGTGTTCTTATTTTGTATTTGTTTATTTCATTATTGTTATTATCTTACAATTCATAACAAGTAGTATCAAATCAAGGTTGAGTATTCCGCATGTCAACGATGAAATATGATATTTCTTTATTGAATCGAGACACAAGATTTTTATGGCAAGTTAAGATATAAGCAGTTTTCACGCAGATGGATTTGAAGGAAGCCTTGCTTCACTTTGATAAGACACCTTTGATTTGAACATAATGAAGGTAGCATTTCAATCTCAAATTCATCTACATCTATCAATCAAATATGTTGACGTCAAAATTTGTAAAGATTAATCTTGAGTCAATTTTAAAAAAAGGGCAATCTTCCTTTATTATGAAAAAGACCAAAATGTATGTCTAGAAAACTAAATTGTGTAATGTGTTTGCAAGAAAGTTCACTTGTCCTTAAAGAGAACCATTTCCCTACTATTTGTACATGACTCCAGCCGAAATTATATCAAATCAGCTACAGGACCGAGCTCGAAAGTCTGGTCGTCGAGTTCTCCTGTGATTGGTTGACGAGGCCAGTTGCCATGTACCAATGTTCTTCTTAGGTAATGATGGCCTGCAAGAGGTTGGAGATTCGGGGCCTTGGATTGATGGCTTTGGGCGATGATGATGTCACCCTCTACAAGTGTATGTGATTGAGAGGGTGATGTGACAAGAGAAAATCATTGTGTCTCTTGAGACCACGACGGCAGTATATCGAGCTGAAGTTTATGGTCAAACTCACATATGCCTGAGGCGGGGCCTGTGAATGACTCATATGAGCCCGGAGTTCGATGGTCAACAGTTATCTCGAGTCAGTTCTGTTTATGAAAAGTACTGATCTCTAGTGTCGACCTTTCTTTTTCTCTAGAAATGTCATTTATGGTAGGGCCAAGTGTTGTATTTTTGTTGGTATGAGTTGTATGGCACTTATAGTGGCTTCTTCGAGAAGCTTGGCCATGAAACTACATCGTTTTGGTCATAACGATTTTGAGCCATTCATATCTCCCACCATTTTTTAAATGAACGGTCCAGATTTAGAATCCCTTGGTTTTCCCCTTTTAAATTCATTTTGGCCTTTCATTTTTACCATTTACTCTGCACGACTTTTCTTTCAAATGTGATGAACAAAACTTCTGAGCGTATTGTCCTATACTTTTTGAGTGAGGTCCTCAGTTCTCAGTCCTCCAATATTCCTCTGCTTCTTCTTTTCATCCTGTAAATTCATAATTTTCTTACGACCTTTGCATGACTTCAAACGAGTCTAGGGTTCATTTCTGGGGAACCAATAGGAAAAGTCCATCTCGTCCACTTCAAGTAATTCATCAAGTTGTCAAGAGGTCCTAACTCTTACCCCATTTCTG